ACCAGTACAGGGCACAAACTGGGACCAGTAGAGGGTGCAAACTGGGACCAGTACAGGGTGCAGACTGGGACCAGTACAGGGCACAAACTGGGACCGGAACTGGGACCAGTACAGGGTGCAGACTGGGACCAGTACAGGGTGCAGACTGGGACCAGTACAGGGTGCAGACTGGGACCAGTACAGGGCACAAACTGGGACCAGTGCAGGGTGCAGACTGGGACCAGTACAGGGTGCAGACTGGGACCAGTACAGGGTGCAGACTGGGACCAGTACAGGGCACAAACTGGGACCAGTACAGGGCGCTAACTGGGACCAGAGCAGGGCACAAACTGGGACCAGTACTGGATGTTAACTGGGACCAGAACTGGGACCAGTACCAGTCGCTAACTGCGACCAGTACAGGGTGTTAACTGGAACCAGTACCAGATGCTAACCGGGACCAGTACAGAGTGCAAACTGGGACCAGCACCAGAATGAGACTGGGACCAGTACAGGGTGCAGACTGGGACCAGCACCGGTCACTAACTGGGATCAGCACTGGAATGGGACTGGGACCAGCACACAGCACAAACTGGCACCAGTATAAGGCACAAACTGGCACCAGTATAAGGCACGAACTGGTCCCAGTACCAGTCACCAGCTGGCACCAGTACTGGTCGCTAACTGGCACCAGTACAGGGCACAAACTGGGACCAGTACCGGGCACTAACTGGCACCAGTACTGATCGCTAACTGGAACCAGTACCAGTCGCTAACTGGGACCAGTACCGGGGACAAACTGGCACCAGTACCGGTCGCTAACTGGGACCAGAACTGGAACCACTACCAGGCACTAAGCGCGCCCTCCGCTCCCACCCGCCGAGCCCCCTCCTCGGACACGCCCCCTCCCGCAGGCCACGCCCCCCGAGCGTCACGCCCCCCTCGGGACACGCCCCTCGCTCACACACCCCCGGCGGGACACGCCCCCGCCGCGAAATGCCGCCACAGGACACGCCCCCTTGGTGAACACGCCCCTTTAGGGAGTGCCACACCCCTTTGGGATAAGCCACGCCCCTTTATGGATCACGCCCCTCATTAGAATGCCCTATGAGGAACGCCCCCTCTGTGACACGCCCCTTTGGGGGACCACGCCCACTGGTGGATGGGCCCCTGCGGTACCACACCCTTCTAATAGACCACGCCCATTTCCTGGCCACGCCCTTCGAACACACACCCTTTTGTGGGCGTGGTCTGTTCCTGGCCACACCCACTCACCTGGGCACGGACACGCAAAGTCCCGCTCATTTCTTTGGCCACGCCCCCTTGGGCACGTGTCGATTGCCGGCCCTGAGGCCACGCCCACAAATCACCGGCCACGCCCCCCGCGACCCCCAAAATTCCCTTTGAGCCCTCCCAAAATCCATCGACCCCCAAAATTCCCTTTGAGCCCCCCCAAAATCCATCAAATTGTCCCCAAATCCCCTCTGAGAGCCCCCAAAATTCCCCTGGGACCCCCAAAATCCCCCTGAGCTCCCCCAAATTCCTTCCGGGACCCCCAAAATCCCCCTGGATTCTCCCAAATTCCCCCAGATTTCCCTCTGGGACCCCCAAAATCCCCTCCAAGACCCCAAAATCCCCCCAAATCCCCCCAAATTCCCTCTGCAACACCCCAAATTCCTCACGGGTCCCCCAAAATCCCCCTGAATTGCCCCAAATTCCCTCCCGGGCCCCCCCAACCCCCCCCACCTGTCCCGTGTCCCCAAACCTGTCCCCATCCCCATCCTGCCCTGTCCTGTCCCCATCTGCAGGAGCCAGGTGTCCCCCGGTGTCCCCACGATATCTGTCCCTGTGTCCCCCTGTTCCTTTGATGTTCCCCTGATTTCTGTGATGTCCCCATGGTATCCTGATGTCCCTGTGATGTCCCTGATGTCCCCACGGTGTCCCCAATGTCCCCAACGTCCCCAGGAGCCTGCTGAACAAGCCCAAGAGCGAGATGACCCCCGAGGAGCTGCAGAAGCGCGAGGAGGAGGAGTTCAACACGGGCCCGCTGTCGGTGCTGACGCAGAGCGTCAAGAACAACACGCAGGTGCTCATCAACTGCCGCAACAACAAGAAGCTGCTGGGCCGCGTCAAGGCCTTCGACAGGTGCGCCTCCGTGTCCCCAGGGTGTCCCCAAGGTGTCACCAGGGTCCCCATGGTGTCCCCATGGTGTCCTCAGTGTCCCCATGGTGTCCCCATGGTGGTCTCAGTTCTCCCAAGTTCAGCTCGGTGTCATCATGGGTTCCCCTGGGCCTTCAGCAGATTCATCTCCAGGGTTTTCAATGTCCCCAAGGTGTCCCCAAGGTGTCACCTGGGTCCCCAAGGTGTCACCAGGGTCTCTATGATGTCCCCATGGTGTCCCCAATGTCCCCTCGGTGTCCCCAGGGTCACCACGGTTCTCCCAAGGTCAGCTCCGTGTCATCATGGGCTCTCCTGGGCCTTCAGCAGATTCATCTCCAGGGGTTTTAATGTCCCCAAGGTGTCACCAAGGTGTCACCTGGGTCACCAAAGTGTCACCTGGGTCACCAAGGTGTCACCAGGGTCCCCATGATGTCCCCACTGTGTCCTCAGTGTCCCCATGGTGTCCCCAGGGTCACCACAGTTCTCCTAAGGTCAGCTTGGTGTCATCATGGGTTCCCCTGGGCCTTCAGCAGATTCATCTCCAGGGTTTTTAATGTCCCCAAGGTGTCCCCAAGGTGTCACCTGGGTCACCAAAATGTCACCTGGGTCACCAAGGTGTCACCAGGGTCCCCATGATGTCCCCACTGTGTCCTCAGTGTCCCCATGGTGTCCCCAGGGTCACCACAGTTCTCCCAAGGTCAGCTCGGTGTCATCATGGGTTCCCCTGGACCTTCAGCAGATTCATCTCCAGGGTTTTCAATGTCCCCACGGTGTCACCAAGGTGTCACCAGGGTCCCCATGATGTCCCCACTGTGTCCTCAGTGTCCCCATGGTGTCCCCAGGGTCACCACAGTTCTCCCAAGGTGAGCTCGGTGTCATCATGGGTTCCCCTGGGCCTTCAGCAGATTCATCTCCAGGGTTTCCAATGTCCCCAAGGTGTCACCAGGGTCCCTGTGATGTCCCCTCAGTGTCCCCATGGTGTCCCCATGGTGGTCTCAGTTCTCCCAAGGTCAGCTCGGTGTCCTCAAGGGCTCCCCTGGGCCTTAGACAGGTTTGTCCCCAGTGTCCCCAAAGTGTCCCCAAGGGCTCCATGGGGTCCCCAGGGTCAGATCAGTCTCCCTACAGTGTCCCCCCATTTCCCCCCAAAATCCCTTTTTCTTTTCCCAAAATCCCATTTTTCACCCCCAAAACCCCATTTTTTTCCCCAAAATCCCATTTTTCCCCTCAAATCCTCTTTTTTTCCCCAAATTCCCATTTTCCCACCCAAAATCCCATTTTTTCCCCAAAATCTCTTTTTTATTCCCCAAAATCCCATTTCCCACCCCCAAAATCCCATTTTTTCCCCCCAAAATCCCACGGTGTCCCCATGGTGGTCTCAGTTCTCCCAAGGTCAGCTCGGTGTCCTCAAGGGCTCCCCTGGGCCTTAGACAGGTTTGTCCCCAGTGTCCCCAAAGTGTCCCCAAGGGCTCCATGGGGTCCCCAGGGTCAGATCAGTCTCCCTACAGTGTCCCCCCATTTCCCCCCAAAATCCCTTTTTCTTTTCCCAAAATCCCATTTTTCACCCCCAAAACCCCATTTTTTTCCCCAAAATCCCATTTTTCCCCTCAAATCCTCTTTTTTTCCCCAAATTCCCATTTTCCCACCCAAAATCCCATTTTTTCCCCAAAATCTCTTTTTTATTCCCCAAAATCCCATTTCCCACCCCCAAAATCCCATTTTTTCCCCCCAAAATCCCATTTCCCACCCCCAAAATCCCATTTTTTTCCTCCAAAAATCCCTTTTTTTTCCCCCAAAATCCCATTTTTTCCCCCCAAACACCCCATTTTTTTTCCCCAAAATCTCTTTTTTCCCCCTCAAATCCTCTGTTTTTCCCCAAAATCCCATTTTCCTCCCAAAAAACCCATTTTTTTCTCCAAAAATCCCATTTTTTCCCCCAAAATCCCATTTTCCCACCCAAAACCCCATTTTTTTCCTCCAAAAATCCCATTTTTCCCCCAAAAACCCCCCTTTTTTTTTCCCAAAAACCCCATTTTCCCCCCAAAATCCCGTTTTCCCCCAGGCACTGTAACATGGTGCTGGAGAACGTCAAGGAGATGTGGACGGAGGTGCCCAAGAGCGGCAAAGGCAAGAAGAAATCCAAGCCGGTCAACAAGGACCGCTACATCTCCAAGATGTTCCTGCGCGGAGACTCCGTCATCGTGGTGCTGCGCAACCCCCTCATCGCCGGGAAGTAGGGAATTCCTGCTGGGAACATCCTCTGGAACCTTCCGGAACCATCCCGGATCTCCATGGAACCTTCCAGAGCTCCCTGAACCTTCCCCAGAGCGGCTCCGTCATCGTGGTGCTGCGCAACCCCCTCATCGCCGGGAAGTAGGGAATTCCTGCTGGGAACACCCTCTGGAACCTTCTGGAACCATCCCGGATCCCCCTGGAACCTTCCGGAACCTTCCAGATCCTCTTGGAACCTTCTGGAACGTTCCCCAGAGCGGCTCCGTCATCGTGGTGCTGCGCAACCCCCTCATCGCCGGGAAGTAGGGAATTCCTGCTGGGAACACCCTCTGGAACCTTCCGGAACCATCCCGGATCCCCCTGGAACCTTCCAGAGCTCCCAGAACCTTCCCCAGAGCGGCTCCGTCATCGTGGTCCTGTGAATCCCCCTCATCGCCGGGAAGTAGGGAATTCCTGCTGGGAACACCCTCTGGAACCTTCCGGAACCTTCCAGATCCTCTTGGAACCTTCCAGAACCTTCCAGAACCTTCCCCAGAGCGGCTCCGTCATCGTGGTCCTGTGAATCCCCCTCATCGCCGGGAAGTAGGGAATTCCTGCTGGGAACACCCTCTGGAACCTTCCGGAACCATCCCAGATCCCCCTGGAACCTTCCGGAACCTTCCAGATCATCTGGGAACCTTCCAGAGTTCCGGCGTCATCGTGGTGCTGCGCAACCCCCTCATCACCGGGAAGTAGGGAATTCCTGCTGGGAACATCCTCTGGAACCTTCCGGAGCCTTCCAGAACCATCCCAGATGCCCCTGGAAGCTTCCGGAACCTTCCAGAACCTTCCCCAGAGCGCCTCGGTCATTGTAGTCCTGCACAACCCCCTCATCGCCGGGAAGTAGGGAATTCCTGCTGGGAACATCCTCTGGAACCTTCCGGAGCCTTCCAGAACCATCCCAGATGCCCCTGGAAGCTTCCGGAACCTTCCAGAACCTTCCCAGAGCATCACCGGCGAATAGAGAATTCCTGCTGGGAACATCCTCTGGATCCATCTGGAACCTTCCCAGATTCCCCCTGGAACCTTCCGGAACTTTCCAGAACCATCCCAGAATCTCCCCGGAACCATCCGGAACCATCCCGGATCCCCCTGGAACCTTCCAGAACCTTCCTGGAACCATCCCGGATCTCCACGGAACCTTCCGGAACCTTCCAGAGCCCCCAGAACCTTCCCCAGAGCGACTCCCTGGAACTTTCTGGAACTTTCCAAACCCCCCAGGACCCCCCCAAATCCCCCTGGATCCCTTCAGGACCCCCCCAGATCCCCTCCCCCCCCATTCCCGGCCGGATTTTGGGGGGATTTTAGGGATTTTTTGGGGGATTTTAGGGGGGATTTCAGAGTTTTTTGGGGGGATTTTGGG